TTTCAATCTTAATGTTTGGCTTTAACTATATCCATTAGAAAAGCTCAGATGACTTCATTGTGCGGCCAGGAAAAAGAAAAACAAGGCTGGGAACCCCAAAATGCTGCTGAGTGTCAGGTGTAAAGCTGGCTTTGCTGGCTGAGAGTCACCATTGTGAATTGAGACCTAAAATTCTCTCTGAGCAAGTCTCCCATATTAATTTACCTTGCTTGCAACCAACAAAGCAATCTTTGTAATATATATATCACAGAAACCGTGACCTTGCTTTAGGGAGTTATTTCTCAGTGATTGTAGGAATCTCTTTTTCCTTCAATTTGAACTGAGAAAAGCCTGTTTGGGAGGTTGAGGAGTTTTTGGTGACAAGTGCAACTCTGCAGATGAGCCACAGATGGGCCATCAAATGGTCCTGAAGTATTTTAAAGTAGTTTTTACAATAACTCCACTCCTACACACGCCTTTTCGGAAGCACACCATCATCTAAGGGCTGCTCTGTCTCTGTTTTGAGCTCCAGATATTCCCACACCCATTCAACCCAGTGAGAAACAGGTGATCAAAATAGGAAGAGAGAGGACAACACTTGAAGCAAGCAGGAGCTGCCTCCTCAGGGCATTCTTATTTTAAACTCTCTATGTGATTCTGCACTTTCTGGTTCCAGATGGGACCCAAATACTGACGGATCAGGGAAAATGCTGTCCTCATGATATTTCTGAAGTAGCCGAAGTCAGGGAAATTCTAGACAGAAGATGGATTTTCCAGCTGTAGAGAAACTAGGTCAAACATTTGAACTTTTGGATGCTTAGCTACACTAAACTTCCTCCAGTGTTCTGCTGCTGTGTATGGCTAGTTATTGCCAGCTGTGCCAGGACTGGTCCAATCCTGCCAGAAAGTTAAACCAAGAAGGGAAAAATGATTTTCCGATCCTGCTGTACTAACAGACAGCTTTGGAGATGCCTTGCAAATGTGTTTCTCTCCTCGTCTGCCCTTGGATATGACCACAAGACCTTTCTCAACACTATTTTGCAGCAAATGACTTCTGCTGTAGCAAGAAAACGTAGGCTGAATATCGAGACACATTTGTGTTAATCTGTGGGTAGGTCTCTCCTGGGACATAGGAGAAGTCCTATTGCTTGAGGCATTTACAGTTAGACTGGTCAAAGCTCCTGGGAGTCTCTATGGGGAGACAATCTCACCCCCGCCTCTGGAGAACAGACCTAATAAGCCTTCTCTGTGTCTGATTTCTCTGATCCTCTGATTAAAGTATGTTCATATCATTTGCATTTGAATTTGCTTTTATCCACACACCCCCCCTCCCCTCCCAATGCTAAAACGTGTAGGCAGGCAATTCAGGAGATGATGTGTTTATGTAACTGTAAACTAGGTTTATAGCAGTTTAATTAGTAATATTAATAACGTCACCTAAGCTTAACGATATCAATTATAACACAGTAAATATTTCTTACTGGATTACAAGTAGCAATATTGAAAGATGAACTTTCATGCTCGGTCAAACTTTCTAAACATATTATTTAAAAAGAGAGATAAAACAGTTTGCTTTTCACATGTGGATAGCTCTTTTAATCTCAAAAAGGGATAATTATTGTATATAAATATTTGCAGATGGGAAACACTGTCCCATTGGATGTATCAGCACCTCTCCTCTCCCTGCTTTTGCTTCTACACATCAAAGTGGCAGAGTTAGTTGCCCAGTTGCACCAAGTGAAAAACACCTTTTTGATGCCCTGGACTGGTGATTATGAACTGCTGTGATGCACAGAGGAAGAAAAAGGGTCAGACATCTGCAAGAGAGGAAGTCTACATTAATATGCTTGTGATATGCTGTATTTGTGGAGGAACTGCAGGTGCAGAGAAGTTAGGAAAGACCCTTTGAGTCATCTGGGACAGGTTTTTCATAAGACTTCTACTTTGGCCCCAAGGCATCTTTTGAAGGTGGCAGATGGAAACAGTTAAGACAACTGAGAGCTGTTTAAAATCCTTCCACTAACCCGGCCCCATCTCTTCTCCTACCATGTAGGATTATCCTTGGCAGCATCTTGTCTCTCAGGACTGCACAAGTCCTGTTCAGTATTTTCTGTTTGCTGAATTTGTCACATTTCCCATTCCCATGTCTAGTTGACCAATACACTCAGGATTTCCTTCTTTTGGGTACTGGCAGTGATCAAAATCAAAATATCTGGGATAGGATCCTTATTCTACAAAACTAGATGTAGAAGCATATTTCCTGCATCCTGACTATGTTTCCTCAATCCTAAACTTGGATTTACTAGGACTGCCTACAAAAGCAAAAGACAACTTCATTTTCCAGCATGAAAGAACTCTTCAGGCTTGCTCCAGAAGCAGTTCAGGATATCATCTTCCTCCTGTCACTTTGTTCCTTTTCCCATTACCTGGTTTCCCCAGGAGCTTTCACATCCACTCTTCTTGCCTCCATCAACACTTCACACGGTACCCAGTTAAACAACAGGAGCAGACCTCACTTCCACTTTTCTTAGGGAAACTGGGAGTATTTCAAGAGTAGCTCAATGAAACTGTCTCTCAGGAGGGGTGAGGAGCTAAGGGGAGTCCTATATGAGGTCTGTTGCCAATGTAGTTATTAGAGCACTTGGGGACCGACAGCTTATGGGCCTAGCTGGAAACCATGTCTTCAGGTCACTATTTAAGATGAGATATTGTACATCACCCTCAGGAAGTGCCATTGATCACAGAGAAAGCTGAGGGTACTGCTGTGCAAAAGATGACAGGTTTTAGAGGTCTAAAATACAGGGATGGGAATCCCAGTCTTAATATCAACACTATGAAAGGCAGCAGGTCCTGCAAAGAATCCAAGGGATGAGCAGACCTCCCAGGTCTGACTTCTCATGGCAATGCCTCCGCTATATAACTGACGTTTTTCTCTCTCTGATTACTGGATTTTTGATCTTGCCTGCACGAAGGTGTGCAATGAGGGAAGAACAAGAGGAGCAAAGGCTCTGTGGAGGAGGAGGAAAGGGTAAGGGAGGAGAGGGAAGGAATATGTCTCTATCCACAGCCTCACCACATAATTTACAAGAAGGGGCAACTCATCATAAATAACCTAAATCTCCTGGGAACAGTGACCTAATCAAGATGTATAATTGCCTGCCTTATCTAAATGAAAGCATCATTTCAGAAATGATAATGTGCATCACCGTGGATTCAATTGCTATAGAGTTCAGCACTGAAGGGTAATTATAATGTTTAACAAATATATTCCCTTTGGGGGCCTGCAGTTAAAGATATCATGTCCTGGTTTCCTCTCACAATGCACGTCTATTACCAAATTATGAGAATTTCCTGTCCCTTATGCAATTTCTCATTGATTTTCCAAAAATGGTTTTCTCTTGTCCTGTCCAGACTGGCTTTTAGGCAAAGATTACAGAGGGAAAAAAAAAAAGAGAAAAAAAAAATAAAAAAAGAAGAGATGAACCAAGGAAAAAGGTAAGTCCAAAGAGAGAAGAAGAAATAACCCATCTCCTGGTTTGCTTGACACTATCCTGTACAGCAAGTGATGCAGAGATCTGACAAACTCAGGTTAAAACCTGTGATCAGACTCCTACCATGCCACTAGAAAGGATGTTCTCCCCTTTAACAGACCCTGCTGCCTGGATATTTGATATGATACTTCAAAATCCTTTTCATAAATTTTCTCCTCTTCCTTTTCCTTATATCCATCTGAGTAATGCCTGTCCCTTATAGGAGAAAACACGCATCAGATAGCTCCAGGTTGTTACCATGCATAATTGATGTGCCACACTCAGCACGAGGGAAAGTCTAACACAAACAGGTACGTATCCTACATTTATGCAGAAGAGGGGCATAAAATAAGCAGAAATACAAAACAGCTTCCAAAAAGGAGATACTAAGCAAACCAGTAGTTTTTAGCCTGGAGAAGAAAGAGACAACTGATGAGGTGTCTATAAAATCACAGATTGGAGAAGGAGGAAAGCAAATGGTTGTTCCCTTCCCAGCACGTGGGAGCGAGCGATCAGGCAGTGGCATTAGCAGGCAGCAGGTTGAAAACAAAAGAAAGGAAGTACTTTTTCATGTAGTGTTTAATTAAATTAGAGAATTGGTTGGGGCAGGATATGAGGCAGGCCAAAATATATGAATGAAGTAAAAAAAAATTAAAAATCAAATGACTTAACAGAGGATGAGTCCATTAAGAGCTATTAAACACTATTCAAGATATAACCTTCACCTTGGGAAGTCCCTACGCTGCTATCTGCTGGAAGATCTCAGGATATTTAAAATAAGAATTACCCAGCAAAGCTGTTTTCCATGTGCATCTCCAGTTCCACCACACTGGTCCAGGGACCATAGTATGTGGTGCAGTTTATGCTCATCAGCTACACATTTTGACCCCTACAGAAGAAGGTACAATTGCTAAGAAAGGTGCAGAGTAATAGCACAAGGCACTTGAGGAGAGCACACTGATTCTGCTGCCCAAGGTTACTCCAGTTCTTACTTAGAGACATAAGCATGACTGCTTGGTCCATGGAAATGTCTTTTAAAAATACCCTGCAAACAGACTCAATTGCCCCACTGAGTCTCGGCTCTGCCCCGGATAGAAGCATAGAATCGTGGAATAGTTTGGTTGGAAAAGACCTTTGAGATCATCAAGTCCAACTGTAATTGTCCACTACTAAACCAGATCTCTGAGCACCTCATCAACCCATCTTTTAAATACCTCCAAGGATGGGAACTCCACCACTGCCGTGAGCAACCCCTTCCAATGCCTGAGAACCCTTTCAGTGAAGAATTTTTTCGTGACACCCAATCTATACCTCCCTTGGTGCAACTTGAGGCCATTTCCTCTTGTTCTGTCACTAGTTACTTGGGAGAAAAGACACACACCCGCCTCACTACAACCTCCTTTCAGGGAGTTGTAGACAGTGATAAAGTCTCCCTTCCGCCTCCGCTTCTCTAGTCTAATAAAATTGTAGAATTATTTGGTTGGAAGAGACTTTTGAGATAAAAAAAATTCCTTGACACCCATACTTGTTCCTCTCCATGGAAATCTTAGTAAAAGGCAAAAGATTTATACAATCTGAAGAGTAACCAGCAGCCAAACATGAAAGCAACCCCAAAAAATATGTGCTATTGCAGTGTTGTCCTGGTTATGCCATGCTGTGAGTATGGTTGTCATGGTATGGATGAGATAAGGTCACTGCTACTGTGGGGAGTGATGAGCCCATGGAAAATAAAGTTATACATTTTTTTTTATTCTTTTTTTTCTTCCCCCTCACACCCCCATGCGTGATGGATGAATTCAGCAAGAAGGACAATCTAGTTTAGAGACAGATCTGTCAGCTGCAAAATAGCTGATCCTGCTTTGGGTTATTAGTTGGGAAAACAAAATTGAGCAAGCACTGTATTTTAAGAATCTTTTTTAAAACCCACATTAATAAAAAAAGAGAGACAGAAAAACAGAGAGAAAGAGAGTGAGAGGGGAACTTGGTTAGATGAATAATTTTTGTGTCGTCTCCAAAACCCTGATTAAAGCTGTGGTGCCTAAATCAAAGGTACCAACAGCAACCTTAAAAGAAGACTGAAAACAATTTTGTGTGCTGCCATTTTTCCCTCTGACTGTGTTTCATAATATATAAAGTTTTATTTTGTCCTCTTTTGATCTTTGAAAGTAAAAAAGCAAGAGGGAAGTAGGGAAAAAAAAAAAGCCACAAAAAAAAATTGACACCAATCTTGTTTGCTTCTTTCTCCTCGCCTGCATCGATAACTCAATTGGATCAGAAGTGAAGCGCCAGCAGAAATGAGCTGAGCACAGCAACCAAATGAAAACCAAATGCTGGATTGCAAAAGCAATATTTCCAATAACATGAAATTACTGAGCTGATTTTCTTCCCTTTTCCCAACACATCACAGCCAGGCTGTTGTGGTGACCAGCATAAACTTTTTCTGTTTGCAGAGGGTACAGGGATTCTCTGCCTCTAAGCAGCCCTGAAGCTGCATTTATTGGTGAGAGACTAACATCTGCTGTGGGAGACCAAAGCAATTTATAGAATTATAGAATCTTTTTGGTTGGAAAAGATCTTTAAGATCATCACGTTCAACTCTAAACCTAACACTGCAAAGTCCACCGCTAAACCACGTCCTTAAGCAACACATCTACACGTCTTTTAAAAACCTCCAGGGATGGTGACTCAACCACTGCCCTGGGCAGCCTGTTCCAGCTTAACAACCCTTTCAGTGAAGAAGTTTTTCCTAATATCCAATCTAAACCTCCTCTGGTGCAATTTACTCCATTTCCTCTTCACCTGTCACTTGGTCCTTGGTTGAGCAGACCCACGCCCACCTCTCTGCACCCTCCTTTCAGGGACTCGGACAGAGCCAGAAGGTCTCCACTCAGCCTCCTTTTCTCCAGCCTCAACAACCCCAATTCCCTCAGCCAGGAACTCAGCACACTTGTGCTCCAGACCCTTCCCCAGCTCCGTTGCCCTTCTCTGGACACGCTCCAGCACCTCCATGTCCTTATTCGAGTGAGGGGCCCAAAACTATGCAGAATATGAAGTTTCAATCAGTGGCTGTCTGGTGTGTATGGAAGAAATATGGGTGCATGAGTCCACTTTCATTCCCAGCTCTGTTATTGTATGTGTTGGACAAGTCACAGCACCTTTCTCCACATATATCTCTACCTGTAAATTAGGGACTGTGACGCACACTCTCCCTTATTAAACCTTCAGAAACTAACATGTATGCCGTGTATTGGTGGGAATTTTGAAAGTGTCTAACCCTAACCCCACAAAAAGCCAAACCAGAAAAGATTTCTGTTTTCAAAAGCCTTCTCTTCACTCACCATAGTGCCCTGTGATGGGTGGCATGGTAGGTCCCCATATGAGATTGGCTTCTGCAAACCAAGATGTCCAACCAAGAACACAACTCATTGTAACTTATCTGCCATTTGAGCAGAGTTTGCTGCCCTGGTAGCAAGGCTGTGCTGGGACAAAAGTCACTGATAAGACACACAGGAGGGTGAGGGTGATCCTTCATCCCAGCTCCATCTGCCCATGGCTGCTGTCATCTCTCCTCTTTCTTGTTTTCAGAGCTCCCCTCACAAGGTATTTGGTAGCTATCTTGTGTCTCTCAGCCATCCAGCAATTCTGATTCTAGAGATACATGGCCCATAAGTATGTCTACCTCTTGTCTAAACTTTGAATGACAATTTGAATGCTAAAATCCAAAAGGGAGGACCTTCTTACACACCCAAGTACCTGACTATCCATGGAGCTGTGTGAACATGCACTGCAGGCTAATGCTTTCCTAACTTTGGGTTTCCTATTTTAGGAAGATGAGCAACCATAAATGCAAAGCTAAACACCACAGTAGTAGAAAAGGAGTCTGTATTTCCCCAAACATGCACATCTTCCATCAATGACCTCTGCACCTGCAGGCCACAGAATGAACAAAGAGTGGCCCAGTGCAGAAGACTATTCACAGCCCATCATACCACCTGCCCAGACCTGTATCCTCCAATGACACAACCCCCTTGTGATCCATCAATGCCGAGCAGCAGAACCCCAAGCTTCTGATATGTTTGTCTTCACGTGGTCCAAGGTTTAAAATAGCAGCCACTGCTTCCACATACAAGGTGAGGGGTTGTTCTTGTGTTTTTATTTCTGTTAGTGATCCAGCATATGGGGTATCCTACCCGAAGCCTACTCCACAGTGCTCACAGCAGGACCACAGCTTGCACATGGCAATACTGTGTGTCACTGGGGCCCATGTACTTGTCAGGCTTGGAACTGGAAAGCCTGGAGTGACTAAAATTTGGAATATGATGCAGGAATTTTTCCCTCCTAGACAGCACTGGGTTCGCGTAACGCCTGGGCAATACGTCTGCGTGTGGGTTGTGAATTGTTTGTACGTGCGTATGTGGAAGAAGGGATGTCAGTGGGAGGAATTCATTAGCATTTTGGTTGTTACATATTTATACTCCAAAACGAGCACGTGGAACAAAGAGAAGACACATCGGGGAGTTGTGCTTTACAAAAAGCCCTCTGACATTTGCAACTGTTCAGTATGCTGGTGGCCAAAACCAGCCAAACTCCCATTGCTCAGGACATACCAGGCCAAATCATGATAAACTCTTCACCTGTCTTTCCATGAGCCTTTTTGCAGCTCATCGTCCATATGCTGCTGCCATCCTGGGTGTTTTTCCCATTGCTTGAAGTACACTTTTGCCACAATTTGATTCACTGATTTCTCATCCCACCCAAAGCGAACACAGTAAGTAGGTGACTCCCTTTTTCCGTGCAGCTCTTGATGATGTGCACAGGCATGGTCTGCTGTCTCATCCCTGGACATCTCTGAGCAAACTAAGTTCTTCCACCCTGTCCTCAGAGGGTTATATTTTGAAGAAAAGCTAGCCAAGCTCCACAGGGAAAGGGATGTAAATCAGAAAAAACACCAGAACAAAACATCCATTTCTAACACCAAGAGTTCATCACCATCTACTGGAGTTTCTTAGGTACAGAAGGACCATGGATTTACAGCCCAGGAGAGTGATACAGGACCAGGGCAAGGGAATTGTGGTCAGAATAGAACAGATTCCCTAAAATCATGGCAATATGTTCTCCCCACCTTTTCACCTCTGGACTGTTAGGAAGTTTGTTAGAAAGGGAAAGGGAAAGGGAAAGGGAAAGG